TCCTATCAATCTGACCCAAACCACATAAAAAATTTTAAATTGTTATTGTTACGTCTTTTTGGTCATAAAAAGTTTAATTAATTCCCCAAATTATTTCATTTTTATATTGTTAACGGTTTTGGAGATATTAAATAAAAACCATCTTCAGGGGCTTTCCTTTTGGGGGCTGTAGCTTACTTAAGAGGCATTTCTTGACCTATGTTTATAGGGACTTTTTTTCTTATTTTTGCACGTACAATCTGCTGTTAAAGTATGGTGCACTAATTTCAGGACACCCTGTATAACATTTACATATTAGTTCTCTATTTTGATACATAATTATAATAAAACATAATAATGTAACATTTATATAAATATGTTCCCCTCTTGTAATATTTACATTCCTATTATGTATCGAAACATAGATATATCAGCTAAAACAATGTTTTATATCTACATTCGGGCCGATTCTATAAGAAGTGAATAGCTAAACGGTTATAAGGAAGGTTAGTGGTTAACTTATCACTAAAACAAAATTGGCATTCTGTAATGAGTTAGTGGTTATATTTTTAAAAACTAAAGAGAGTTTTAAGAAGGTATGTAGCGAAAAATTGATGATTAATCTTCGATGGAAATTTGATTTAATTAAATGCCTGCAGGCAAAAAGAAAAAAATCGACATAGTACCTATTTTAAGAGACATTTGAAATCCTTTTAGGTACTATGACTGCAAGTTTGTTCATAGAATTTTGTCGAATCTCAATTGCAAGATTAAAGAATTAAACCGCACATACATAGAAACAATTTGTTACATGTATCTAATATTTAATAGTTCTCCATAATATTGTTTCTTAGGTATTTTACGAATCCTTTGTATATGTTAATGAAATGTATTATAATTTAATAATTTAACACTAGATTACAGTCTGTGTAAAAATACCCAAAATGCTTGCTTGCAGTCCTATGAAAATACTGCTGGGCATCATACTTTTCAATATTCTTAAAAGTACATGTACAAAAAGGACAAGAAAAAAACATCGTTGGTTAAATAAAAACTAGGTATAACATACTTTCTAGAATTATAAAAATATCGTAGGAGTCTGGAAACAAAGTGGTGGTGCCAGCATACTGCGACTTACTTACATGAACGTGCAAGGAAAAATTACATTTTTGTATGTATAATTACAGATGTGAATACACAAAAGTTTTTGTAAATGTACAGAAAATACTGTATTTTTTTGTAAAATTACAATAATTTACATGATTTTTGTAAACTTAGTTTATTTTACAAAAATGTACATGTAATTAAAATATTTACACCACTTTCATTGAAATTATTAATATAAGAATAAAGGTAATTTATTGTGATTTTCCAATTATTTTATTATTTACAGTGCAGTTAAGACGATATTAAAGTATAGGCTCTTGATATCAAATTTTGATTTTATCCACGTAACTAATAAAAAAATATATTTTTATTAGATTATTTCCCTCATTATAATATGAACCAATTAAAAGCCTTGAATTTTCGAATAAATTTCTTTTATGCACGATGACATAATATGACAATTATAACAAAAATTCTTTGACGTAAACGTCTTTTTATAGCCCGCGGGCGTTATTATGACCCAGCGGGCTATAATGAAACGACAAAAAATAAAAACAATAGGCGCAAAACTATGAGCTTATTTTATTTTAAATTTATATTAACAATACAGTTATTACAATTAGTCATGAGTTGCAGGCCGCAATTTTTCGCCTTTTCAGCTGCTTCCTCAATTTCATTCATCTTTAAACTTTAAAACTGACTGATGTCAATAATATTTATGCACGATGACATTATAATATGACAATTATAACAAAAATTCTTTGACGTAAACGTCTTTAAAAACAATAATATATTAAAAATAATAATATATTAATCGTGCATAAAGTTTTGTATGCATTGCTGGCATAACTGGTTTTTATGGTCCTACGACGCTTTTCTAGCGCCTCGGACCATAAAAACCTTATTATGCCCTTAATACATAAATAACTATTAAATAAGCGATTAAATCACTAGAACTATTTAACAGCGATTAAATTTTAGCCTCCATATTGGATTTTTGTTTACGATTTTATGGTGTTATTTACAAGTTTTAACAAACATTTTTTAAAAAACAATAAAAAATAAGTTATCTAGTTTACGAAATATTAATTATTACTTATTACATACCTTAAATTAATGGAATTTTCTTTAAAAAAAATATTTATAAATTTTGACACATACGTCAGATTTTATGAATTGTCAAATAGTTTCCTTTAATTCGAGAAATAATCTAGACGTATATCACTCAACCTATAAATTTAATCTGTCAAACTATGCTCAGTAAGTTTTTTATTTGATTTTTCTTTTTGGAAAATAGTTTCATGCAAAATAATTAAAAATAAAACCCCTCGACCGCTACGCGGTCTCGTGATTTTATTAAATTATTTTGCATTCAACATTTTCCAACAAAAACCAAACAAAAAACTACTGAGCCTAGTTTAACCGATTAAATTCATAGTTCTCGTGATATAATATATGATTGCCAACATTTATTGTGAATACCAAATTAATTAACATCAGTTTTGCATTTCAATAAAGAAAGTTCAAAATAAATATTTTTCGTACTTTTATGTTTGTATGTACTTTCTCCTATTAAATCCCAAACGTAATCTCCATAATGCTCTCATTATACTGCCCTGATAATGAAAATGTTCTTCTTGTTCTACTAAATAGGCACCCATATTATCCTTAAATCGGTTCAAGTGAGCAAACCTATAACAAATGCTTTAAGGGACATTCTGAAGCCAAAGGTTTCAAGCAGAGTTTTTTATCAATTCTTTATAATTATTAGCTCTGTTGTTTTTAAAAAACCATCAACTACTGTTTTAAGGTTATTTCAGATCTAGTATTGAGTAACTGTGTAAATTCACTGGCGCTTTTACTTCAGCTTCAAATAATTTTGGAAAAAAATTCTTTAAATATTGTTAAGCTCAGAATCTTAATTAAGACCTTTTATAAATTGTTTATGAGGTAAAATTTTATATACAATAAAGGCATCAATACATCCTCAGGCACTACAAGTGTAGGTTTACCATTTGACGTTATCTTTCCCTATCTGGAAATCGGTTTGTTTGAGCCATGTGTCCAGGGGCGTGCTGGCAGTCCAATGCAGGCCTGGACTGGATAGTAGAGCAGTCCAGACTCAAGCCAGTTTCATATACTTCCTATAGCTAGTAAAAAATGTAATACCTATAATTATTAATATTATTACGATGACACCTCGGCTGATAAAACGTCCCGAGATAACTCTCTTCGCAACAAGGAACTTTTTTCAGGTAGTTTATCAACTATTATGTCACTGTCTAAGTCATTTAGCACTTTTTTTCCACAGCCATAAGCATGACAGCTTCCAAATTTGCGTCACTAAGTGTATACTTTTTAAACGATTTTTTATAAATTTTAATGACATTAATTATTATAATATTATAATTATAACCGAACACTAAAGGAACATACCCGATTTGAAACGCGGTTATAGATTTGTTTTTTATATATTATACCCAAAATCTTTACAAAAAAAGTCAATCTCTTTAGAATGCGAAGTTCGCATTGCGAACAAAAATCACCTGCTTTGCGCACCACGTGAGCAATCTTTGATTTAGGTATTTGCCGCGTTAATTTAAATTCCCCGAAATAGGTAGTAGTTCTCATATGGTTTTTTTTGGTTTATGGTAAGTTCTGTATAATAAATGCAGGCATGTAAGAAATAAAAATAGTCGTTTTAAGTTCTAAAGTAAACGCAAATGTTTTTAAATATAAGATTTAACAGTTTTAAAGCAAACGCATATGTTTTTAAACAATATTTGCATCTGTCAATGAAATTATGAATAAAATGTGCTATAAATTGTAATAAAGCCAGATTGTCAAATTCAATGTTCTTTAATGTATAATTTCGTTGTTCGTAGTATACATTAATAATTAATGATTAATTATGCCCAAGCTTTGTTAAAATTTGTCATTGTAAAAGGGAAGAGAAGCAGTCCAGCAGGCCACCAAGTGGTGCAGGCCACCGGGCATTCGCCCGGTGTCCCGGCGGCCCAGCACGCCCCTGCATGTGTCGATAATGTGTTGTGTCTGCTCTATTATCCCATAAGCAAAGGTGGCAATACTATTTAGTAGGTATACCCGCCTTGCATTACTGATCAGATGTACTCTGTATTCTTCAATGTTTTCAGCACCATTTTCACACTGTAATTTTCTTGAAGTATTACAGAATGAGCCAAATAATGAAAATGCTTTATTAACATTTCTTTAATCGTTCATTTTTAAATCTTCAAGGAAATTTTACTCTTATACAGCTGTAAAGTGCATGCTCACACTCACTACTATGACCACGTGAATGCTTTGATTCTTAACCTCACCCTTTCCACACTCCCTTTTATTTAAACCTGCTGCTACATGCTGCTTCTACTATCGACTAAAAACTTTAAGACTTTTTCATCAAAATAAAAAAGACAAAAGCAAACTTTACGAGTATTAAATAAAGATTTTGGATTATTTAATGTATGGAATCAACATTTATTTAATAAAATACAAACTCAAACAGAAATATGTGGGTAAAAGACATAGGGATAAGTCAAAAAAATTAATTTTTCAATAGAGCCTTTAACTTGTTCGCATTAATTCAGGAAATATATTAGCATATGACATGTACTAAAAAAAGGCTAACCATAAATATATTTACTGAATTAATGCGAATACGTTTAAGGCCTAAGTGAAAAATTGCTTTTTTGACTTATCTCCAGAGAAATATTGTAATATTGTACATACAGCCTTTAACGTGTTCGCATTAATTCAGGAAATATATTTATGTTTGGCGGGTATAAGCTTTTGTTAGCATATGACATTTGCTAACAAAAGGGTATACCCGCTACCTAACCATAAATATGTTTCCTGAATTAATGCGAATACGTTTAAGGCTCTACTGAAAAATTGCTTTTTTTGAATTATTTCCTTATGCCTTTTACCCAAAGACTTGAGCATTTCTTAAATACCTGCATAAGAAAAATATAAGTCGTTTTATATAAAGAACAAATAAATTAATGTTTAATAATAGATTTATTTAACCAATTCTATTTATTATTAAAAAGTATTCCTAAGTATAAGTATAAGTATGTAGATAAAATATTGTTTTTACATTTTTTTTAAAGAATCCATCAATATGGATATTTCGGAAGCAATGTTGTTTACCAAGCTTTGTATTTGTGGTTTGGAATCCAAAACATCAATACTTTGAGTATAAGCATTGTATCTCACTCCAAAAGTTCTTGGAATAGTGGAAGAAAATTTTCTAAAAAAAAATTATTTTTTAACTTATTAGGTAAATAAAATTTAAAATTTTTTACATCATTCTTTCTTTGGCATCCTCAAAACTTTCGGCCAAATAATAAAGGGGTTGATATTCAGTTATTGGATATTTTTGCAAAGCAGTCTTTGGTGGGTCAAAAGGTCTAATTTCTGGTTTATCACTTAAAGCGTATTGCAATTCTCCATAAGAAGATAAAAGACCAGCACCATAAGCTTTTACAGCTCCATTTTCCTGACATACACCATACTCAACAGTAAACCAAAAACACTACAATAAAAATAATGTTATTTAGATTTAACATGAATTTTAAATTATCCTGTTTACAGTAGCCAATTTTTCTATAAAATCATCAGGAGCTCCCAATGAGGCAAGACCGATTTCTTGCGAAAACCTTGCAAATTCCGGATCTGCAAATAATGGAACGTGTCCTAAAAGTTCATGACATACATCTGGTTCTGGCGTATAAAAAGGCTTACTGGGATGTCGAATATATTGGGTGGAATGAAAAACTCTAAAAGCAAGACCTGCCAGGAAATCTCTTGAAGATAATAATCCTGCTACGGGTCTTAAGCTAAATCCAGTACAATCTACAACAACATAAATAAACTAATTAGGAAATAAAATAAATAATAATAAATCACATATAATATATTTGTAATATATAAACATATATATGTTCATATATTACAAACAGAAACCTTCTTCGTCTAAAATAAATAATTGTATGACCATGTTTATAGATAATTATATACAACCTTGCAAATTAGCGTCTCTGTGTCACTACACTACAATTCCTTTCCGCAGAAATAAATAAAAAATGGTAAGTATTATTATAATTAGCTATAATAGTTGACAACACGGTTGAAATTAAATGAATATTGAAAAAATTACATACAGAGTATACTCATCACAGTACTAGAAAGAAAAGTAGATGACGAGAGGAGAAAATATATTTTGGAACGAAAATGACTCCATCGCTGAAGCTTCATGGAATGATCTGGGAATAATAGAGAAGGATTTAATGCAAGATAATGTTTTTAATTTAACAAAAATAACAATCAAAATGACACCGAAAGCTATAAAGAAGGTAGGGTCATTGTGGAGAGTGTTTTTCAGTTTCCAGATTTATTTGAAAAAGATGATTTGTTGTGTTATCTTGAACAGGATATATGTGCACACAAACTGGCAGAAATTCAAACAAATACACTTGTCGAAGTGTCGTTATGGAGGATGTACTTTATTTTTTTTATATTCTTGTCACAAATTTTAAATGTCTTTTTTCCCTCTCGATGTCTTCGGCATCATTGCATTTATTTTTCAAACATTGGCCTAAATACCTAAAAAGGTGTTATTGGTACCTGGAAAAGAATAAGTAAAAGAGCATTGCTTTTTAGAAACAGGTCTAGTATTCCTATAACTATAATATGATTATTATAATAATTATTATAATGATAGTTCGAATTACTAACATTGAGTACGCCCACCTATATTTCCTAATTTTGGAATGCTGATTTCAAAAATGCCACTAGTTTTGCTCCAGGACGTCTAGGATTCGAAATAATTGCGTAATAAAATGCTCTGCCCAATTATCTTAAAATGTAAGTTTTTCGTTAATATTTTGATTATTAAATTATTTTGCCTTAAATCTATTTTGGATGTTCAGTATATTTTTGACGTTTTTTTTTTCAATAACATAAAGGGACTCCATACAATGTCATCGGTAGATAAATATCAAATACAAACATTTTTTTCTACGACCACTATGTAAAAGTCACTTTTCATGATGGCATCGTTGCTTAGAAAATGAATCTTTTCATTGGCAAGGCAAAACACGAATGTAAAGTGACATTTCTGTGTGAAAAGTGACAGGTCTGTGTGAAAAGAACCGGAAAGCATCGTTTGACATTCAGCTGTCAAAAAAGTTTTTAGGTTATTTTGTTTTGTATTTAAAAATAATAAAAAATAAAAGGGTCGCAGAAAAAACATTGTGTTATACTTATGAGAAAAGCTTTCTTCAAGCTCGTGTTAATGCACACTCGGCCTGACGGCCTCGTGGGCAACTTAAAAACTCGCATGAAAAAGTCGCTTTTCAACACTTGTAAAACAAATAACTATAGTTCCATTGTACCGTATGCTCTTCCATCACTGCCCTCTAGAGCTACAATACCTGAACTATATCTATTTGTAAATTGCAGACATCTGTACAAACGCTATTTGCAAATGTCAATGTCAATCATAATTATTGATGTCGATCATAATTTTTAAATTATTAAATACATTTTTGCGCCTTAAGTGATAAAATGTGTTAATGGTTGTGAAATGTATTGTTGTTGGGCGCGGAAATGTAACCAATTTGTAAGTATTGACTATTCTGCCGTCCTAAGCCAAAAAGACATCTCATTATTATTAAATTATTCTCTTAGAAAAAAATACGCATTTTAACTATACATACATTTTTAAGTATACTTAAAAAGGAGCTATAGTATACTATAGCTCCTAAAATATTCTAATTAAATTGAACGTATCTTAGAGAAAAACAATAAAGCGCTATAATTTATAAAGTAAAAATGTGGAGTTGCGTCTTTTTGGCTAAGCAAGGCAGTACAGCTCTAGCGTAAAAATACTGTTTGTTAATTATGAATTATTTAGGATTGCTTGTTTAATGGTAATTTAGTCCAGGCCAAGCCCAGGCTACTTATGGTTGTTTCAAAACCAATAGTTGGCAAAATGGATTTTTCACGGTTGGTTAGAACTTGCCAAAAGTCCACACTCAAAAGCCTTGTACAAATTCCTATATGTATAAGTAGCCTGGTCTAAATTACAAAATTTTGCAATATACTCTTATTACCTATTGAAGAATTAAGACTAATATTTTTTAGGTTTGCACTCCACACACAAAAACATATTCATGTATACCGATTATGTATTTAATATGTACATATAGATGTATGTATTTTATTTTATATTATATTATTAATACAATAAATAAATCTTATATTCATACTTGTTTTATTTAAAATACAGCAGTAAATACAATACAGGGATGGTAATGAGCTCTTAGGCCGTTTAATAAACAAAGATGCATGCTATATGAAACGTACGAATAAGTGAGATAAACGTATAAATAAGAGAGACAAACAACCATTGTTGAACGAATAGAATAACAAAATACTTATTTCCCCTCTGCCCCTAAACCATAAGCGTGCAGTACAAGATTTTAAAACGATTAAATCAAAACAATTAAACATCCGCCAATGTTTTACTTCCCCTCCTCTAACTGCTTTACAATCCCACCAAGGGGCTTAAATATGGCACTTGATGAGTGTTTTTAAATCTTAACGTGCTTTTTAATTATCTGCTGCTAAAATTCTTGTTTTTGCGATGCTGTTGGATCTTAACTTGCTCTATTTTTTGTTTAACTTGTTGTTTTTGCTTTCGGTAAGGTTCGAATTACTTTTCAGTGTTCAAATTATTGTTATTGAGTTGTGTTAACCTGTTCTATTTGTTTATTATTGTTTTTGTGTTGCATTAACTTGTTTTGTTTGTGTTTTAGTTTGTGTCGTACCATTTGCATTTATTAAAATGCGGTGTTGCATATTTGGATGCAATTCAGACAACCAGTCCAAGAAAAACCCTTTAAATAAAAACATTAAATTTAATTGATTCCCGAAAAACTTTGATTTGTGGAAACAGTGGTTAAATGCCACAAAAAGAATAGGCAATATTAACGTTAAGACCGCTTCTGTTTCCTATAAACATTTTCTGGACAGTACAGTACAGTGGCTATAAGTTTAATTTAATTTAATTTTAAACTACAGCCCTAAATGTTATCAAGGACTAAAAGCATCTATTATCCATATTATAAAACTTTCTTCAATATTAAGTTTAATAAAAACGCACTATGTCCAGATATTTTCTTTGATAATAATACTATTATTCGTGTATTCGCACGGCAACTACTCATCAAGTGACGTCATGCGCGGCATGAACCAAAACTCGTACACGGGAGCATCCAGCGCTGGCGCGGCGCGGTCTGGCCTGCCCCACCACTATTACGTCACTCCACCACTCCCACGTCTCATAATGCATTTGTCTTTATTTATTAAACGGCCTAAGAGCACATTACTATCCCTGTATATAAAGGCACCCTACGAAGCATCAACATTCAAATATGGCGCCAATATATGTTACAGAAATCTACTTCAATTTTTGGCATTGCTAAGGGTATTGTAGACCTAGATGGCGTTAATTTACTTTAGCCTTTTGCCGCTAGCGCTAGTGTAGTTTCCAATCTATGGGGTGTATTGTCTTTGGTATTAAAAACCAAAACTAAAATTATATTGCTTTTTTGGTTTAAAAAGTATTATTTTTTGAAATTTTTGTGTCGTTTTTTTAATTACCTACTAATTAAATTGAAAAGACAACAAAGTAAATGGGTTTCGGTATAAACATTACTCTTGACTATTATTTGATATTTTTTTATTCTTATTATGCCTAAAGTACCGAAAAATTCAATCTCCAATCTTATTTATTAAGTCTTATCAAAATTTAATATCGAATTGAAGTACAGGGTGTCCCAAAAAGGTGGGGGGCATTTGTATGTGCGCTGTTGACGAAACGATGCATGAAGCGGGCAAGGGGTATGTATAGTGTAGTAGACTAGTGTTTGGAGATTCAGTAGCCATGGAAACATATTCAGAAAGGCATCGGGCTTTTTGTGTACGTGCGTATTACCGGAATGGTGATTCAGTCATCCTCGCTCAACGGCTTTACCGCGCAGAATTCATGTGCGGCGAGCACCGAAAGACGACACGATCCGACGATGGGTCAAAATATTTTAGGAAACCGGAAACACAATAATAACCCACCATACGGGCCGGCCACGACCAGCTAGGACTAAAGAAACAATTAAACATGAAAGAGCTTTAGGTGGAGAAAACGGTCACCGTGAACTCCGAACGTTACTGTGCAATGTTGAGGCAATTTCTAGTGCCACAACTTCAACAATTTAGGGGATTTAATCAGAGAACATGGTTTCAGCAAGATGGAGCCACTTGCCACACTACGCACGCGTCGGTCGAGGTTTTGAACGAAATTGTTTCCAACAAAATCATTTCTCGTAGAGGGACCATTGTATGGCCCCCAAGGAGTTCGGATTTAAGTCCGCTTGATTATTTCCTATAGGGATATCTAATGGAGGAAGTTTATAAACCCAGGCCGCGAAATTGAAGCAATTGGAGCAATTGAAGCAAAATATCCGGTTCGAAATGGCAGCACTTTCGATAGTGATGTGTCGTAGAGCGATCTACAATTTAGGTTCGCGGTTTGAAGAGTGCCAGCAGCGTGAAGGTGCACATCTGGTCAATGTGATTTTTGCAACGTAAATTCCCCATCTGCCATTTACAAAATAAAAAATGTGTCAATTTTTTTTTGTTTCCTGTTTTATTCAAAAAAAAATACCCCGACCCTTTTGGGACACCTTGTATAAAGGCGCCTTTATCTACTTTATCGTTCAAGCACATTAAAGTACATCTATTAATTTTTGACATTTAAAATTTAAACTTCAAATTGTATTTTTACTTGAAAG